TCTCTTACCCCTCCCCCCCACCCCAAAAGAAGAAAAGGAAAAAAGGAGAGATTAATTGCGGTGAGATGGTAATTGATCATGCATTGTAGTGTGCTCTCCATAAGTAATACTGTTCTTTCTCAGGACATCACAAAATGTTATAGCTACTTTCATGGAACTGTTACATTTTTGCATTAGAGATTTTTTGTATGGTGTTTTGATGTGTTTGTGTTTATTTATTTTAAAATACAGTCCCTGGAAGCGGAAATATTGCGCCTCAATAATCTTCGTGATAGAGCAAGTGAGAAAGGGCACAAGAAAGAATATCCTTTGTTGAGGCAATATATTTAATAGTTCTTTACATGCCAAATTCAGATTTCATGCCTCAACTGAAAAAGCTGAGGCACCATTTGATATTTATGAATTGTGTCATTTTCTGTATTCATTAATTGAAGAACATTGACCTTGAGCATGAGGGCTTCCTTGACTCTTCCACGCTCAGAGAATGTGTAGAGAAGTTAGAGCTTCTCAAGACGCCTGAGGAGCGCCTGAGGAGGCTACTGGAGATTCCACAAGTGCATGCTGATCCAAAGATGAACCCAGATTATGAATCTGAAGGAGATGATGGAGAACACAATGACAAGAGAAAAGGTTTATATCATTTTGTTTTTAGTAACTCTACGGGTGTTGCTAAATCCTCTTTCATTTTTTTAAGGGTTGGGGGTGAGGAAGAAATAAAATGATTGCTTATTGCTGATGGAACATAATGCAGTTGAACATCCGGCACCAAGAGGCACTAGATTTAGTAGAAGGAAACTTATATCTTCAGGGAGTCGAGGTAAGATGAAGACTGTACTATGATGTCCTTCAAAAGGTTGTTTAGCGTCAGCTAACTAAAGATTTTCTTGTGTTTATCCAGTTAAAGAAGAGGGCTCTATCATGGCTCAATGTAGGATGAGTGGGAAAAGAGATGCTTGTGGAACTAATATCTTGGACAAGCAAGGAAATCAACTAACTGTTGAACAGGCTGTTGATAGGTCTGGATCTGAAACTTCAATTGCTAGTCTCTCTACGGCGAATGCATCATCCGTTATCAGTAGTGAAACTGACAAATTGTGGCATTACCGAGACCCTGCTAAACGAATACAAGGACCATTTTCCGTGATGCAGTTGAGGAAATGGAATACATCAGGGCTTTTTCCTCCTGATATGAGGATATGGACAAATCATGAGCATGAAGACTCAGTACTTTTAACTAATGCACTAAAGGGGCTTTTCCATAAAGAATCTCAAGTACATGATAAGACATCAATCCAGTCACGGGAACCAACTAGCTCGGATAGTAGAACTAGTGTTAGGTGGTCTGAGAGTGCTACTGGCTCAGGGGGAGAATGTGAAAAGAGAGAGGCACCTGGGCACCTCCACAATGCAAATTACTGTTCAAACGGTAACACAGAGTTTACGAGGATGAATGGATTGTCCCCTTCTTTTCCACGATGTGTAGAGTCATTGAAGGGAAATAGTTCTTGTTCTGACAAACCCCAACTGTCGAGCTCCCCTTCATCTAGTCAGCGGGAGGTGATTTTAGCTCTTCCACGTCAGGGAAAAGGACATGGAACTCAGAATTCTCATAAAAGCACATTGTGCCATGCACAATCTAACAGTCAGAATTTAGATCCATCTTCTGGTCAGAACCAGAAATCTTTTACAAGCAATAAATGTTCAATTAACCTGGATTCTGGATCTAGTTTTGCTTCTGCTACCAAATCAAGTGATTTATTTGAACAGAAAGGAGAAGTGAATCTCCCGGACCTACCTAGTCCTACTCCAGAGACGAGCTATGGTGACCTTGAAGCTCAGGCTGCTGAGAAGCTGCTTTTGTTGAGTTCAGTTATTCCTGTTTGTGGTTCAGATATTCATGATTTGCCAAGTCCTACCCCTATTTCAAACAGTGAAGCTCAAGGTGTGCATGCAGCTGAAAATAAAGAATCTGGTCCATCAAATCTTCCTGACAGTGAATCTCGAGGTGGGCATGCAGGTGAAAATAAAGAATCTGGTCCATTAAGTCTTCCTCTTCAGGAATCAGGCCAAAGGTGGAGCAGTGCTTCTAGTCCAGTGGTTGGTGGGCCCCAACTTCATGAAATAGCTGATGAATGGGGTAGAAGTTCACCAGCTGCAAAACCGTCTACTGAAGAATTGGATTCTAGTCTTGTCTCTGTTTCCTCACTGAAACCGGTTGACACTGTGGGTGATCATGTTGCCACACCACCTTCAATTGCCGACCTGCTTACTGCAAAACCATCTACTGAAGAATGGGATTCTGGTCTTGTCTCCGTTTCCTCACTGAAACCAGCTGAAGCAGTGGGTGATCATGTTTTGAGACCTGCTTCAAATGCCAACCAACTTAATCATACTTCCCCATCTCATCCAATGTCAAACTTCTTTGATGAACCTATAGAGTTCAGCACTTTGGCTGAGGAATCAGTGTCAGACCTTTTGGCTGAAGTTGATGCCATGGAATCTCAAAATCAAAATGGTATGGGTTCTCCTACTTCTGCTATGAGGTGCGGTGAGGAGATGATACCTGGTTGCAAAACTGAGTGCTTTAGCCCGATTGAGGAGCTGAGTCATACACATGATCCTGTAAGAAGTGATGACTTGAGCTCCACCGGAGATCTACAACTACCTTGTCAATCTACTGTGACGGATGAAACAGTTGGTGCATCTCGAGCTGATGCTTTTGATCCATTAAGGAGGTCTGGCGGAAATTCATCTACGAGTAGTGAGGGAGAAACCAAGTCGGCTGATGTTTTGTTTTCCCAGGGGGATGTTGGGTCCGGTATCCCTGCACCATATACCAGTGGTATACCTGCACCCTGTACCACCGGTATACCTGCACCCTGTACCACGAGTCAAACTACTGCATTTGCTGCAATGGGTAGGAGTACAGTGTTTGAAGGTATGACCAATGGGCGTGGAGCAGCACCTGGAAACCTAAGTTGGGGTGGACCAGTTCAGGGATATGCAAATGTTGGTTTTGGAAGCAACATGGGAGCTGCATGGGGAAATTCACATATGAATCGAGGGGCGCCTTTCACTGGTAATCCAGTCTGGGATAGCCAGCGTAGGTATGCAGGGGAAAGGTCTGGTGGTCCAAGAGACTGGGCTCTTCAAGGAGGAGAGTCGGGATTTGGTAGGGGTAGGCCATCTTGGAACAGACAGCAGCCATATGGTGGTGGAGGATACTCTAGGCCTCCTCCCAAAGGTCAGCGAATTTGTAAATTTTATGAGAGTGGGCGTTGCAAGAAGGGGGCGGCGTGTGACTATCTACACCCGTAAATTGAAGGCAATTGCTTTCTTTTTGTATAATCAGAAAGTTCTTTTTTCAGTAACAAATTGACATGTAGCTAAAATGTTACCACTATAACTTAACTGAAAATATGGCAGATTGCAATTTTTTCTTCTGGACCAGTGTGTTATGAGGATTTTGCCACATGTATAAGCTGCAGTAGTGAACTTATAGCAATTTTCTGCTTTTTGAATGGTAAGCGTTACGGATTAATTTGACGTTTCAAACTTGAATGAGTAAATTCCCAAATCCTGTTTCTTTCTTAGAAAAGGAGCCAGTAAATGCGATGGATCATCTTCATTTTAGTGCTATAAATTTGTTGTCTTTAACATTTAGCTCCTCTTCCTTGCTACAATAGGTAGCAAATTTAGCCTATGAGAAGCAATTCTCAATAGTATATTTAATTGAAGTACTTAGTTAGGCCATTGAACTGCTTCGGATGGCTTAGCACAAGTCAATGGATAACAAGTAGTGACATCAGATGGACAAGTCAATATATATATTAAAATGGGTCAACATGAATAAAATATAATTAGTTGAACACTAGCTTAGGTCTAAATGAACGGATCGAAATCATAATACAACTCAAATATTTTTTTTCATGTATTTGTTTGTTTTTATATTTTGTTTAGATACAAAAAAAATTCTTTATATACGATACAAATTGACTTTAACTTTTTTAATAGAGTGACTTAAATTTCGCCCAAAATAATCCATCAATAAATATGTCTTTATATATGTTTACTTCAAGTCATAGTATTCGCTTTGCACAAAGAGAGTATAGTTCTTCTCAAGTTATACTTCAAAATAATTATTCAACGTCATTTATTTAATAACTTAATATTCAATAATTTGACATGAAAATTATATGAGATCAAAATTCAAATTTAGCAAAGTCAAAAATATAAATGATTTGCTAATCACTAGTCTAGACTCTAGGGTAGGGGTGTGCACTATACGGATTAAACCGAAAAATCAAATCAAATTCTAATTTGGATTGATTTTTTGGTCTTGGTTTGGTTTTGGATTAATAATTTACTCTATTTGATTTTTTGGTTATGTTTCGGATTAAGAAAAATAAAAATCAAAAAATGAAAAAACCAATTATATATATATATATATTATTTTTAAATTACAAATATAATTTTGATTATATTTTTAATTATCTATAACCGAATAATTGAATCGAAAAAATCAAACCGAAAAGAGAAAAACTAAATCAAATCAAACCAAATTTATTTTGATTCGAATTGGGCTACACTTCTTCAAAGTTAAAAAAAGAAAAACCCAAAATAAATAGTCCAAAATCAAATCGAAAAATCGAATGCACAGGGTTCACTCCTACGAAACGGTCTTTTCGGAAACAAAATAATAATAAAAAAATGCCGGTTCACTCATAGAGTCATAATTTATCTTCGGTTTCTTATAGAATAAATAAATAAATTTGTATTTGTGGTTTGAGTTGGGAAAAAACAAAAGAAAAATACATATCACTTCGACCCTACCTTTACGCCAAGTGTCCAAAAGAACATAAATCAGCCCTCAAGAGGAAAAGAGCTTTGGAAGTGAGCGTCAATGGTGAAACTCGAAATACTGAATACTTTTTCATTTCATTGATAACTTGATACTTGAATGCTATTCCTCCCTCACAGAAAAGAAAAACTTGAAACTTGTTTCTCTTGGAACAAAAACGATGTCGTCTTCGACATTGACGCCAATGCAAAGGTACGCTGCCGGAGCTCTGTTCGGTCTGGCCCTTCATCAGGCCCACATTCATCAGACTTGTCCATTGGGCTTTCCGTCCGACAAGGAGGACCGTATCAGCAATGGTAGCAGTAATGATTCCGTCTCTGACGACCCTCAACTTTGGGTTCACGAATCATCCGGCCTCCTCCGCCCAATTTTCAAGTTAATTCCCTTCTGCTTATCTTAATCTTCTGGCTTTCAATTAACACTATTATTTGAATTAGCATTCATCGATTGACGACGTAGTTTATTCGAAGATCATTCATTCAAGTTGTATGTTTGATTTGTGGTTGACAGATTTCTAGAGATTGATAAAAAAGCATGGTCTGGACTAGAGGAAACTGCTGGGTCTTCATCACCAAAGCATCACGTTGGAGCGGTTAGTTTTCTAATCAGCATTGAGTTTATGTTGAAACCATTAGAAAATTTACTGATAAGTGGCATTAAATTATGAGGTTTATTTGGGAATCATTTTCTGGATCATATTTCAGGGTTTGTTGGGGTATAAAATTATGTGACATATGGTAATTAACTGATTATATAAAGTGGAAGACAGGGTATCGTGGTTGTGTTTTGGTTATGTTATATGTGTACTTATTGATTGAAGCATGCTAAATGATATACGAGTTGAGATATTTCGTTTCCGCCCAAATTGATGAGCAGCTTTACTCCTTTTTGATAGATTTGTTTTTTTCTTATGGAAAAGCATTTCAACTATTTGAGGTAACCGAACACTGGCAAATGATTTCATCGGCATAGCATGTGTCTGCATGCACATTCGAAGTCTAGTGTATTTCAGACAGGACTTTGTAGCAATTGCTGATACATGTTTCTAGCGGAAGGGAAAGGAGTTATCCTTTTCTTTTTAATATCTTCTGCTAATACCCTCAACGAGTATAATTCTGTGCCCTTTTTCTGTTACTTGTTTGATGCCATAATGACTGATATTACATTAGTTTGACAGCTTCTAAGGTCACTATCTGTCTCTGAAGAAGGTGCTGAATCTTCTTCAGAAGCAGCAGACAAAGAACTTGATCTTGCAAAGGCCATCGATGCTATGGCATCAAGCATGGAGAGAACTTCCCATAATGTGTCCAAGAAAGAGAAGCAGTGTGAATATGAGCATAAATGTCGGGAGAAATTATCTCTTGCTGATACGCAATCTAGGTCCGAAGTGGAAAATACTACAAATGTTGAAAATCACCAAGAGAAAAGCAAGAAGCCATCTAGCATTGAGCAAGCCCATTTAGAGTCAGTTAGTGGATTTGATGAAAAACCTGTGGAGGAGGCATCGACACTTGAATACTCTAGGAAAGTTAATGTTCTCTATCAACTTTTCTCTGCCTGTCTTGCTCAATCATCTGAAGAGAGTAAAAATTATACACAAAGGAGGGGTTATGATGCACGACATCGCGTGGCTTTGCGGTTGCTAGCTACATGGTTTGATGTCAAATGGATCAAAGTGGTGTGTTCCTGCATCTACATCATATGTGATTTCTGCAATATTATTGTTCAATCATTTATTCTTGCTGTTGTCTCTTCTGGAGTGATTTTCTTTAATACTACTGCCTACTGGATATCCTTGTCCATACATGCTTGATGTGATGCAGGGAGAATTGAAGTGTTCAAGTTTTACTAAAATGTTTTGTAAGTTCTTCCTTGTGCATCATTTTAATACAAAACTCATCTCCAAAGTAGGAGAAAATCAAATGAAAAACACTCCCAACAACGAGAGAAAGTAAGAGACCCAATTAGTAATGTGAGGTCAATAAAACTATTCTTCTCAAAGGAATTTGGATAGATAGGATGCCTTCTATTTTTGACATGTATAGTCATTACTTGTTCCACCTTTTCCCTTTTTTATACTTTTATGAAGGTAGTAAATTTAGTCAAATGATGGGGAAAACTCTGCATACAAGATGTATACCATGTAGAGAACTTTCAAAAAGACAACAACATTTTTCTACAAAAAGCATCCAATCATCTGTACCATAACCAGCTTATTGGAGCTGCTCCAAGATATACAGAAAAGTAACAAGATTCCTCTAATATATTTGAAAGATATTCCATAAAAAAAACCCAGTTTCTCTCTCTCCATATCTTGCACATGACTGCTAGATGTGGCATACTGCTACCTCCTATGCTCTCTGTCTTCTATTTCTTCTTCTGAAATTTCATGCTAGTATCAAATCCTTTACTGTCCCTGCCATTACCATTGATTCTAAACATATTCTACACCTTACGATAAAGCTTGTGCACCACCTGCCAATGAAGTAGTAGGTGGTTGACTTCCTCACTGTCTCTCTTACACATGAAGCACCAAACAACAATTGCACCTCAGTCCCGAACAAGTTAGGGTCGGTTATATGAATCCTCACTTCTTAATTTAAGTTCATTTCATTTCATATCATCATCATTAAAAAGGACAAATATAAGTAGGACTATTCGAACACAACACCTTAAACATTTAGCATTTCATCCCTGATTCTTTACGTTCTTTCTATCATCTCAAGTACAACAATAAAAAATTCTTAAAGGTGGAAATATTTTAGATGTCGCTAAATTTTAGTCTAAGCTCTGCTTAATTTGTTGATGGGATACCTTTGAATTTTATCCATAAAATTTATGGAAGGGTTCTAACAACTTAGCTTTATATCCTTTAAGATTATCCTACAGAAGTGATGATCATCTTAAAAAGGCTATTGCAAGCATCTTATTCTTCTGCAGGTGATAAAGTTCACCTCCAACCAGAGCATGGGAGGCATCTGTTAGTTGAGGGCTGACACCTTTAAATAATGGAGTGCTCTTCTCACCTTTGTGGAGTATGTTACTAGAAAATCATAGCTTACATGTTAATTCACATGAGGATTTTGTTTATGCCACACTTGTACCTTCACCTTGCTATAACTATGTAGTGGGCAATAGGGGAATGTCTAGTCCTTCATTTCTGATTTTCTTTTGTATAGTTAACTGTTTCAAATCTTTTTCATCTTTTGTTCCATTCTTCTTGTTTTTTTTTGAGCAGTTACATTATCATTAGAAAAAGAAGAAAAATTGACATTAACTGTTGGTTCCACTTTTTGATGTCAATTTTTCTTTTTCTTTACCATAATATGAGCAGAAGCAAGGACATGTTTTTTCTCTATTTAATCTAGCAATCATTTTCTTCTAGACTAGGAAAACAGCTACTTCATAAGAAAGGAGCCTGTTGTAGTGATGCAGAAATTTATGCTGCCTATAATAGCTTAAAACATGGACCTTAACCTTGTACAGACAGTGAAAAAAGAAATTATCTGCTGCAGGAAGCCATTGAAACCACGATTGCTTGTTCTGCAATGGCACTGAAAGAAGAAGAATTAAAGGAACAAAGCCGATCTCCTAAAAGCTCATTGGCTAAGTGGAAACGAAGAGGTATAATAGGCGCAGCTGCAGTAACTGGAGGAACCTTGTTGGCAGTTACTGGTGGTATGACATTCCAGACTTTCTTAAGTTTCTTAACTCAGGTCCTGACATGTTTAAGCAAACATCTTAGGAAACAGATTTTTTTGTCCTTTTAGCGACAAGCCTTACAGGAAACAGATGTCTTCTCCTTACAGTCTTCATAAGGTGCATAAAGAAGTTGGAATGTGATTGTGGAAAGTGCTCATAGGAGACAAAATTGTTGTAATTTTGTTGCCTTTATTTTGTTTGTAAACAGGTTTAGCTGCTCCAGCAATAGCTGCAGGCTTTGGTGCTTTAGCCCCTACCTTGGGGACTCTCGTTCCTGTGATTGGAGCAAGTGGGTTTGCTGCCGTTGCTGGTGCCGCAGGAAGTGTTGCAGGGTCTGTTGCAGTAGCAGCTTCATTTGGAGGTAAACACATGTTTCATGAGATATCTTGTTGCATCTCCTTTTTCGTCATAAGTTAATAATGGAGATGAGGAGAGCGCAACTTGTGATTTTGCACTTCTCTTTTCCTTTGATAAAGTAATGTAGTTTCCTTAAGAGAAGTACCAAAAAGGTACCCAAAATTACAAAAAGATAGTGCTTAGGAGCACAATCACATCAGTAGCTCATACAATCCAAATAATAAAATGGATGATCTAAATCATTTGCGCAAGTGCTTTTGCACTTCTTAGGTAACAAGGTTTAGATTGATTTGTGGAATCTGAGCATCTTGAAATTATCCAACAGTTACTAAGGGTTGTCACCGATATTTTTGCTTACCCAGCTGCTGGAGCTGGACTCACAGGAAGTAAAATGGCCAGGAGAATAGGAGATGTTGATGAATTTGAGTTCAAGGCTATAGGAGAAAACCATAACCAGGGTGTAAGTAATTAGCTTTTGTGTGTACTACTTGAAACTTTCCTGTAACTTCTGCCTGCGGTTTCTCGTTTTAGTTGGTAGGTGGGCCATTGCAGTCTGCATTGTGTCTCTTTGAGTTCTTTCATCTTTATTCTCATAGTTGCCATACTTTTTAGTTTTAGTCATGGACCACAGGAGCTCAGCTATGTTTGTTCTCACTTTGCATTTTTGCTATCAGCGGCTGGCAGTTGAGGTTTTGATCTCAGGACTTGTTTTTAAGGAAGAAGATTTTGTAAGACCTTGGGAAGGACAATATGATAATTCTGAGAGGTAAAATATCTGTTTTTTTCTTTTTTGTTGGTTGATCTCCATTTGGGTAGATGATTTCGTTTACCTAGGTAAACATAAATTTTACTTCAGATTTCTTACCCCCCCCCCTCTCCCGTATCTGTCGATGAAGGCTTATAATGCAGAAACCACTCTTACTTTTCTCATTTTCTTCAGATATGTGCTACAGTGGGAGTCAAAGAATCTTATTGCTGTAAGCACTGCAATTCAGGATTGGTTGACGTCAAGTAATAATTTGTACTTTGCGTTTCAGCATATGATATATCGACCAGCTACATTACCACTGTGATCGGTTATGATGCTGACATCATCACTAACAACAGGACTTGCAATGGAGTTGATGAAGCGAGGTGCTATGATGACAGTTTTAAAAACTCTCTTGACAGCATTGGCTTTGCCAGCAACATTGCTTGCAATGACAGATTTTATTGACAGCAAATGGGCAATTGCTGTGGACAGGTTCTTGTTTGTCTGTGTGTCTGTTCAGTACAATCTCTTTTTTGAGCTTGGGGTTGGGATCAAGGAGGAAAAAGGCATGAAGCTGTTTTATCTTCCATGTGTCTATATGACATGATTGGAAGTAAAAGGATTAGATTAATATAATTGCAGTAATGATGAGAAGAACCTATACGTGTATTGGTGAACTCAACTTATTTACCAGTTTTCTCATCAATTTTTGTTTGGCCCTTGCAATTCTAATCTTTGAATTTTTTGTATTTCCATCTTTTGTTTCAGTGGAATTAATTCTGGCTCCAATTTTGCCTCTGCTTAAATTATCAAGCAGTTCTACTATGATATTATGTTAGTATGTCAAAGCACTGTCTCCTACTTTGAATTTAACCTGTTGTTTATATCAGATCGGATAAGGCAGGAAAACTTCTGGCAGAAGTGTTACAGAAAGGATTACAAGGAAATAGGTAAATAGTCTTAAATAGATTCTGAGCATTTTCCTGTTGAGTCTCTTGGAAGATCGAGTTTTCACATCAGCCAACTCTATTGGTTGTCCATGAATATCTCAGGCCTGTAACACTTGTTGGGTTTTCACTTGGGGCAAGAGTTATCTTTAAATGTCTCCAGGTTCTGTCTGAGAGTGAGAATACTTGTAAGTGTTATTTTGAAATATGTTTTTCTTTCTTACATTTTATCATTTTCTTTAGATGATCCTAAAATATTTTCTTGTATTTTGATAGCGGGGCTTGTGGAAAGAGTTGTTCTTCTTGGTGCACCCATTGCAATTAAAAATATGAACTGGGAAGCAGCTAGAAAGGTTGTTGTTTCCCACTTTATTCATATCATCTACTCTTACTAGTATGAGCATATTTATCCCCTTCCCTTTTTTCATTTGTTTTCTCTAGTATAAGGCTTGTACTTATCTTCTTGGTTACCTCATTATTATATGAGGATCCCTCTTCCTATTTTACAGGTAGTGGCTGGTCGATTTGTGAATGCTTACGCTACAAATGATTGGATGCTAGGAATTGCCTTTCGTGCCAGGTTTGCCTTAGTTGCAAGCATAGTACTGATGTTGAAAGTGTATTGGACTGAAGTTGAGTTGGGCATAACCTGTGTTGAACCTATTCCCTTGCACCCCCTTCAATGTTGCGTTTTGACTAGCACAATTATTAAGATACGTTAAAAATATGAAATGTTCGTCATTTCTTGATGGAGTCATTTTCTGATAATTTATTATGTTGTATAGGACAATAAAATAAGGTCAAAACTGTTTTGAGAGAGTAAAGTTAGGTCACGTAAAACATTTTATGTCATTGTGTGTCTGACTCAAGCAAGGTATTCAAGTTAGAAGCAGGGTAGAGTGCAGGCTACACTCTCGAGTTTCTGAACCTATGAGCCAATTTGGGTAGGACCAGCTAACTCACAGGGCATATCTGGATTATAAAAAAAATCCTTCCCTAAGATATATGAGAACTTCATTTAAGAATAGTGCACAATAACTCTTGGATAATCCAAAATGGAAATAGGACAAGTTGTGGATGGAGGGAGAATATGTTCTCTGTTTCGCATGCTGTTTTGTGCTTCTATTTCTGTGTAACTTGTGCAATTTCTCTGAACAGTCTCCTGACTCGAGGTTTGGCTGGAATTCAACCAGTTGATGTTCCTGGCATTGAGAACGTAAGTTTTCCTTGTAAGTTTTCTTCTTAAGGATAACCAAATTTGGATCTCCATCATTTCTTGCTTAAACCTCTCACTTTTAACAGGTTGATGTAACTGAACTCATTGATGGCCATTCCTCCTATTTATGGGCTACCCAAAAGATCTTAGATCTACTTGAGCTTGATGCCTATTATCCGGTAGTCCTCGGTCGAGTTGCGCTATGAAGACAGACGTTGCAACACATTTTTCTTCCTTAGATAACTGTATTTTAGGGGATTGTATCTGTTACAGGAAGTCCATAGGTAGCCAGTTCATTATATGACCACTAACAGGGTTCTAGTCTGGTACTGTAGTTCTTTATTCAATTTTTCTCTTTCAAATCATTTTCTGAAAAATGAATTTCTTTAGCCGTGCGTTTATCAAAAACAACCTCTCTAGCATATATTCCACCCTCCCCAAAATTGTGGTTATTTACTGGGTATGTTATTATTGTTGTATACGATATATCACACATAAGCTTTCTGCTTATGAATAATAATAATATAGCAAGAATCTGAAATTATGATTCTCTTGCTCTTGTATTTATTTGATTTATGCCAGATTGTGAATTTGATAAGAAGGTTGTTCCTTCTAAGACATGAACGAAACGATAAATGCTATTTCTCCATCTTATTTATTTGATTAATTTTTAGAAGTATTAGTGTTTACCTGGATTGTGAAGTTTTAGAAAATAACAGTAAATACTTATTCATTTTGGATATTTACTGATACAGTATTGATTCTAAAAGACCAAGTATATAATAGTTAACTGCCAAATTTCATAAATCAACTATCAAAGTCAATTTACAAATATTTAGTTTAGGGTAGATGAGGTATATCACGAAGTCATTGCGATGTAAAGCTTTGGTACATGAATATGTATCAAGGTTGACTCTTCTTTAATTAGATATATATACTTTAGGGTTAAAGTAGGTGTTTAGAATCTAGTATTCTACTCTTTTTGAATATATTGAGAGAGTGAAAATGACTTTTTTCTTACTTCTTCAAATATTTCATTTCATTTTATTCGTCCTAGTTTTCACCTTTTGGATTTTCACTGAGGTCATAAAATTAAATATCATTTTAATAATATCTTTAATTTAAAAGTCTTTTTAATTTTCTTAAATTACTTGCCAATTTATTCTTCTATCAAACTAGGTAATTTATCCGCGTGAAATTTTTCTAAGCTTTTGAACAACCTTTCCAATCACCGACTATTATAAGAAAGAAAAAAAAACGTAAATTTGAGTCACATATCTCAAGAATTGTAAATATATAATGAATGATTAAAACTATCTTGATAGCTAATCATTTTTATCTTTTATATAATTTATCATAATATATGTTTGATAATATAAAAAATGTACATTACAATAACATAAATAATTTTTTTAGAGGAAATCTACTTGTCTGAGGTCAAACGTTCAACACTTTTCGTTATTGTTACTTTGTTACTCTAACAAAATTTAAAGAAGGAGAAAAATAAATTTGAAACAACAATAACAAAATATTGTTGATCCTTTTAGAAATTCATTCTTCATTAAAATGCTGCTCTTAAGGCCCTTCTAAATGCTTCATCAATGCAACTTTACAATTTTTTCAGAGTATGTACGTATAATTGCTGGATTATGAAAGTACAAGTAGATCAAAATGTTGGATTCTAGACTCATGTTAAAGAAATATTCTCGAACATGAAAAAATTAAAGATGATCCTAACCTAGATAGCTCAAATGCTCAGCAATGACATGGGACATGAAGGCCAAAAAATCTATGTTAATAGACATATATTTTGTAGATTAAGATATTACTTTTATTTATAGTAGGTTTTTATTTCATATTCTTCAAATTAAGCTTGCCGAAAACAGTCATAACTCACACAAAAAATATTTAGAAGAGTCGAATGAGAAGGAAAAAAGAAAAACATTAAAAGGACGAAAGTTTTGTCCAAGTGAGATCATATACATACTAAACGAAAAATAGTCAATACAAATTTAAGGAGACAAGAAAACAACGAGAAAACACATACATTAAATGGAGTAAAATATGAGATATCCAATCATGATAACAAATCATTCTAACTAGAAAACTTCCTATGTTTTAAAATAACATACCTCAAAAAATTGACCGACACTTCAATCAACTTTCAATCCTTAAAGTACTCATAATACCCACTTATAAAATTTAGTAAAAATAGATAACTTACAATATAAAAGACAAAAATATGGGCATGCAAACTTATTAACTCTCAGATGATTTTTTAAAGAATAGAAAATCTCATGCTTGTGTGTGAAGGAATGACGTTGTTGATGAAGAAATTATTGTACGTAGAGAAAACTTGCATGAATACTCAATTAACGTTTGTTATTTAATCTGCACTAACAAATACTTATAACAATTACTTTGCAGAACTATACACAACTAAGTTTAAAACATGTACTCAAAAACAACAATTAATAATATAAGCATAAATTAATGACTGTAAAAGGCATACCATGATTTGTATCAATAGAATGAAACAAAATGGAAAAAATCGAGCCCACTGAATGCACAGTGTCCCCTTAAGAGAATTATTCCCCTCTAGTACCCGAGGTTTAAATGAATATATCCTCTTAGGATAGAACAATTCTATTCACCAGTGTATTGATATAAAATAATAGTGTCAGTGAGCTTCTCAACAGGAGCAAAGTACACAAATATTTAATTGTCCAGAAGAAGAAGAAGAAGTTAAGATTTTTTGTTGTTTTAAAATGAGAGAAAATTCATCTATTTATAGACAACAAAAGGCAGTGTGAACAAATACTTTTTGTGGCGTATCGAAAAGGTCACAACTCTTTGGAAAAGTTACAACCTTTCGAAAAGATAACAATCTTTTATAAAAGTCTCAACTTTTCATAAAACACATAACTTTTAATAAAAATCCCAACTTTTCGTAAAAATCATAAATTTCCATGAAAGAGAAAGGCTAGTTTTGGAGATACTATAGATTAAAAGGGGATCCTGATTTGTGGTGGCCCACCTAGGCCCCTAGGCGGGCCTAGGGTTCTCTTTTATATAAATAATATGCTAATTGTTATATATTGATATGGTCCGGGTTCGAATCCCTTTAGCCGACGTCGAGTAACAATAAAAAGTTAAACGCGCTTTAGAGTTGAACGAAAGAGAAAATCTGAATCTACATATTTTGCTCTGGAGCCAAGGAGAGGAATAAACAAATGCGGGAGGAGAATGGTACGATCGAAAAAGGCGGCAGTTGCTGCGTCGACGGTAACAGCAAAAGCGTAAATCCAATCAACGAGACCAGAGCCGGAGCCGGAGCCGGAGGAACAGGCTCCGGTGAAGGTGTATCTTCATCTCCGACATCTTCGTCGTTGACATCCAAGAATCAAGGGAAATCATGCAAAGGATGTCTCTATTACTCGTCTACTTTCAAATCCAATTCTCGCAATCCACTCTGTCTCGGTCTTAGTAGTTCCCTTCCTCAAGGTTCGCGTTCTAACTTTTTCTTTTTCAGATTTTCTTGAACACAATACTGGAAATGTATTGTTACTTGCTTATTGTGCTTCTCTTTTGCTAATTGAATTGCTTGAACTGATTCCTTTTTCTGTTTTTCTTGGAAGTATAAATTTCATAAAAGTATTTAGGATTAGTTGAATTTGCAGCTTAAGATGAGGAAATTTCTCAGGTTACTGGTGAACTTTTAGTATCTAATAGTTAATGCTCAATAGAAAATGTAGAGATTCTAGTTCTTGAGAATCCCTAATTGGTCTTAACAGGCAAATTATGACTTTATGAGTACTGGAGCAGAATGAATGTTGAGGATTCATACATCCCCACCATCTAGTTTGGAATTGAGGTGTAATAGTTGTGTAGTAGCAATAGTTGTTAATTTGGTCTAACTGTGGGTTTCATGCTATCTGTGGACTGTGTTATTTCATAAACTCTCTCTATATTTGATAAGAAATTGACCTTGAGCCTAACTCAACCCCAAAAGCTAACTTAGAGGTGATGATTGTCTAAAATTCCAATAAGGAGACCAAATACTCAACAATATTGGTAGTAATACATGTTACTTATACTGTAATACTCTGAATGACTAAATATTAAGCATTTTGGGCAGGTGAATTAGGTCTGCTCTAGTTATTCCATGTCATATGAGATATCCTTCTTATAAATATTTCTGTGGGAAACAGGAAGTTAGAATTTCTTGACTTAACGTGCTCAGTTGTTGGGTACATAGCCTCTGCTACTGTATCTTATTATGCATTGAATGTTCTGCTTTAATGTTTCCATTTTTCGCATAATTAAAAATTAGACCTGTATTGAATGTGTGCTGAGACTGGTTTTGATGTTTGTTGAAGTACCTCGATATATTGTTGGGGAATCTGAGAAGGAAGCTTCTAAAGAGGGTCGGAGCCTTACAGATTTTAGATATGCTTGTGTCGGTTATTCTGTTTATTTGGATCAGAAATCTCGATCAACTGAAGCGCAAGAGGCACAAACAGAATTACCTGTATGTGTTGGCCTTGAGGTTAGCATTCTCCTCTTTCTATTTTAAAGTTCGCTTCATGCCTTGTTTTGTGTTATGACGTGTTCTAGGATAAGTATGGAGAAGTAAGCAATTTATTTCTGCTCAAGGTGTCATGCTTTTAATGATTTAAGATACAGCGAGTCTGTCCACAGTTGTCTTTTACTTTCCTCTTCAGACCAGTATTGTGTTTACAGTCCTTTACATGCAATTTAACCTTTGACAGAATATACAGGAAGATAATAGCCCTGAATAACTTAGTGTTTTCTGTGTCATCATTTCTGGTTATCCCAATTTTCTTTTGCTGAACTAATATAGAAAGCGTGCCATAGGTTTTGGTGGATAAAAGACCCACATCAGCTGATGCAACTCCTGGCCATACTCATGCTCATAACAGAGAAGGTGACTGCCTTGATCTCATTTTCTCCATGCCGAAAAATATATTCGATGTAACGTTAATATGCTATTGCCTATGTGTTAAGGGTGCTACTTCTTCATATGGATGTCTAGATTTGGTTCAAACATTTTTACATAGAATGTGTTCTAGTTCCAGTTTCCTGATATTTAAATTTCCAGTAACATGTTTTATTAATTGATTACATGCTTCGTGAAAGTTTATTCACATTTTAACCTACTGCATTTCCTTTTTCTTTCTTAAAGTAAAAAAATCCAGAAATATCCTTTATCAAAAAATCCTCACTGAAAAATCAAAATTTCATGACAATGCATCCTCTCCTTATTTTATTTTCTGTTGTTAATATTGCTCTTCGCATTGCATATCATGTAAAGAAAATCACTCTCTTGGGGTTTTGTTGT